TGCAATGAGGTACATAGATGACCTTCTTATACTAAATAACATCCAATTTAATGACGCCATACAGGACATATATCCTTCTGAGCTTCAGCTCAAGAAAACTACGGAGAGCCCAACTACACTTTCGTACTTGGATATACTTATTACTATAGAACATGGGAAATATTCTACTGTGCTGTATGATAAGAGGGATAGTTTTAACTTTGACATCGGAAATTTTCCAAATATGAGTTCTAGCATCCCATCTAAGCCAGCTTATGGTATATGTTTCCCAACTTGTACGTATAGGTAGAATATGCAGTGGTTATGAGCAATTTTGTGAGCGACATTACAAACTCACCCAAAAATAAATAAATCAAGGATTTAGATATGCGGAGCTATGTAAAGCGTTTATAGTCATTTGCACAACCACAGTGTAGGAAGACATATTGAGGACGTGTATGTTTGCCAGCCAGTGATGGATTCCTGGGCCGCCATGTCTCAACACATAGAAGATCCTGTGGGATTGGTAGCTAGATGTTTTGTACACAAACAGTTGTCAGACATAAGCTTCAGGTTGACTATGTACTCTACATGGGGTGGTACTAATTGTAACCACAATAGCGCACTACGTTTTTACTGTGTAAGTAAGTTGTTCAAGATTCTATTTTTCTACCACGTTTTTACCGCTACAAGTAAGTCATTCTATATTTTTATACCTCCTACAAGTGAGTAATTCTACCTTGTTTTTACCATTCCAGTAAGTAAGCTATTTTTCTATTTTTCTACCATGCTACCAATTTCATTTTTCTACCATCTATATTATATATTTATCATACTCTACATGTGTTGTCGTGACTGTGCTATCGTACAGTTACTCCCTGTGTGGCTGTAATTCTTTGTGATGTGGAGTTTGGATACTGGGTGTGTGGGGAGAGTTGGCTAGCCATAAAAGACTCTTTAACCCACTGCCCCAGTTCTCAAGGCTGGGCACACAGTGTCCTGCTCTCATGTCATATTTGTGTATGTGTTTTTATGGATGTTTTGGGATTTGTGGATATATTGGTGGTGGTTTTTATTTCTTTCTTTCTCTATCTATCTATATACCTATGGCTGGTATGCTATGAACTATAATTTCATGCATCTTACATCATTTCCATGACAACTTCATGTTTCCATTACGATCACATATTGTTTTAACTAGCTTCAGGCACTCTTCACTCCTCAAACTTGCTAACGGTAGCACTCATGGAGATGAAACTTTACGAATGCATATAACACCGTTTCCATCACAACCACATATTATTTGAACTTTGAACTACAAATAGCCTTAGGTATTTACTTCACTCCTCAAACTTGCTAACAGCAGCACACATGGAGATGAAACTTGATACGCATGCATATTCCACGAGAACTACATATAATTTGAACAACTACAAATAGCCTCAGGCATTTACTTCACTTCTCAAACTTGCTAACAGCAGCACACATTCATCATTTCCATGACGACAACAGGCATTTTTCTATATTATTAATTTTTATAGGGGGGTCGCCCCCTTTCACAGAGATAGACGTAATCACTAAGTACGGTAGTACTTAGTATATAGGGATTGACATGGTACCTAGCATCATAGATGTATGATAGGGAGTTTTGTTCATCTTCTTCTTCTTCTTCAGATTCACCACCCATAACTCAAAAATGAAACAACATATAGTAATGAAATTTTGTAAGAATGTAGATATCCATCACCCGAAGAGACTGGTCATACTTATTTCTTTGTAAACAACATTGTTTACTGTAAACAACAACAAATAGCCCCAGGCAATACATTATAGAGGGATCACATGTGTCAGTATAACTCACAATTGGTAAGAGTTATGTGAACGAAACTTTTAGACAAAATGTATTCAATTACCAACATCAAAATCACAACAATACATGTTTGTAAACAACAACAACTAGCCTCAGGCACTTTTCTTAAAATTGACTTCTTCACTCCTGAAACTTTCCAACGGTAGCACGCATAGAGATGAAACTTGGTATGTATACCTATTATATCATTCCCATGACAATCACATGTTTCCATGACGACTGCATTTTGTTTGAAAAAGCCTTAGGCAATTTTCTTTAAAACCACTTCTTCACTCCTCAAACTTGCTAACTATAGCACACATGGAGGTGAAACTTGGTGCGCATGTGTATTACATCGTTTCCATGACAACCACAACAACAAATAGCCTCAGGCACTTTTTTAAAAAATTACTTCTTCACTCCTCAAACTCGCTAGCTATAGCACACATGGAGGTGAAACTTGGAGTGCAAGTGTATTACATCGTTTCCATGACGACCACAACAACAAATAGCCTCAGGCACTTTTCTTTAAAATTACTTCTTCACTCCTCAAACTCGCTAACGGTATCACACATGGAGATGAAACTTGATACGCATGTGTGTAACATCGTTTCCATGACGACCACAACAAATAGCCTCAGGCACTTTTTCTTTAAAATTTCTTCTTCACTCCAAACTTGCTAACAGCAGCACACATGGAGATGAAACATGGTATATATGCACATCATTTCCATGACGACAACAGGCATTTTTTCTCTAGTATTTTAATTTTTATAGGGGCTTGCCCCCTTCCACAGAGATAATACGTAGTAGTATATAAAAACGAGTGGAGACAAGTAAATTAAAAATCTTGCGAATTAAAAAAAAGAGGCATATAGGGATCGTATAAAAAGAAAGGGAGACAAGATAGGGATGGGATACATGAAACATGGGTAATGAACAGATTTGAGTACGCTGACACCCCCAACCCCATCACACAATCCCTATATTGTTGCCTGGTGTGCTACTCTTATAGGGGCTAAAGGTAACTAAAAGCAAGCATTCTTTCACCGTGTCCCTGTTGTTTTAGTAACATTTATACGGCCCAATTGCCTTTTAAACTCCACTTGGACTCTATAAGGGTGTTGGTTACTCAGTAGTGTATTGTAAGTTCTGAGTATTGTATTGGTGAATGTTTAATACTTCACCTAGGCAACAATATAGGGATTGTGTGATGGGGTTGGGGGTGTCAGCGTACTCAAATCTGTTCATTACCCATGTTCTTGTCTCCCTTTATTTTTATACGATTCCTATATGCCTCTTTTTTTAAATTCGCAGGATTTTTGATTTACTTGTAGTACATAAAAGTGGAGTGGAGTGGAGACAAGTAAATCGAATTTAAAAAAGAGGCATATAGGGATGGTATAAAATGAAAGGGAGACAAGATAGGGATGGGATACATGAAGTATGGTCAATGAACAGATTTGAGTACTCTGACACCTCAACCCCATCACACAATCTGTATATTGTTGCCCAGGTGAAGTATTGAACATTCACCATTACAACACTTTCAGAACAAAAAAGTCATGCTACTGAGCAACCAACACCGTTAGAGAGTCCAAGTGGAGTTTATTTAAAGGTAATGTGGCAGTATAAAGGTAGAAACGTTACTAAAAACAACAGGGGCACGGTGAAAGAATGCTTGCTCTTAATGCCACATTCCCTATAAGAGTAGCACACCAGGGGACATTATAGGGATTGTGTGATGGGGTTGGGGGTGTCAGCGTGCTCAAATATGTTCATTAACCATGCTTCGGTATCCCATCCCTATCTTGTCTCCGTTTCTTTTTATACAATCCCTATATGCCTCGCACATGTCAGGTAACCCCTATTCCCCTACCAAGACTTGACTCACACGTGGCCAGACCTCAAGCTTTACAACAAATCAGTGCCCCTCCCATCATTGCGCTTCAGAATGTGGAAGCCCGGGAGCGGCGATTAGTGAGGTCACAGGAGGCCACATTTCGAGAGAGAGAGAGAGAGACTGTGCCTTTTTGCGCATGCATCTTATCACGTACATCCTTAGTTGGTGAACGATGTGCATCCTCTTTTCCATGTACATACTCACTTCCGCCTGCCAAAAATCACAGCATTCACCTAGTCCCTAATCCTTGGCACACATGTGCAGCGAGGATTACAGTACTTGGTCTGACTGTCTGTCTGTTTGTCGATGCACTACAGGCTACTAAGCGGCCAATGAGCAATTAAAAACTACGTGAGCCTGAAAAATAAAATGTGATTTCCTGGAACGACTGATGCAGTGAAAACAAGTGAAAAAGCTAATTATGCGTATTACACATTTATACACTTTTATATACTCCCCTTGCTCTGTGTACCTTGGACGCACAAGAAGGGTGCGTAAGGGTGGTGCACCAAGGGTTTTAACCCTCGGCGCGCATGCGCAGCGAGGGTTACGTAGTTGTTTCGTAAGTGTCTGTCTGTCTGTCTGTCTGTTACCACGTTTTTTGCCACCGCGCGCACGAAATCAGGTAAATAGCGATATGATCGGGTTCAGTACTACACTGGGTTGATTTTTAAAAAGGCGATTTTCGTAAAACTACTGCGTTCTAAAGTTATGGCGTGAAAACCAAGTGAACAAGCCAATTGGTAATTAGCACAGGCTTACCTCGACCGCTTCCGCTCGCTCTGTGTATCTTGAAGGCACAAGAAGTCACAACGAAGGGCATGTATCAACTCCCGCATGCAATCTACTACTGTAGCTAGCCCGTGCCAGACTCTCCGCGAGTTACTAGCGGGATACAACGAGTAAAGAAAAGAAAAGCCCAGCCCATCAATTAGTGGTACCGCGCATGCGCAGTTCGCCGAGGGTTTTCACTTAGGTATATATTACGACAGTGCCTCAAATCCAAAAAGAGTGGAACAAGTGGAAAAATCACTGCTATGCAAAAAAATAGGATGTAGGGATGTCACATAATGCAACAAGAAGACTCCTACACACATCCCTGTTCGGTTACGTAGACATATTCAATCTATTGTTCATACATGCATTCATGAGCAGGAATAGATTAAACACATGTAGGGATATAGGGTTGAGGCTATGAATGACTTTCTGTCTCGTGTAGGCATCTCCTTGTTGTGCTGTGACATCTTTACACCCATCATAATGGTCTACCTTAGTTGATGACAATTCTTCTGCTCTATCCAGAAACAATTGGACCTATTGAATAAGTAATACACGCAAAATAATTTTTGTGGAGTCCTACATAACGTAAACTAGGTATTGTACTTGGGTAGATGAATAAAGGATGAAGGCAAAATTTAAAGAGGTGTTCACCTGAAGAGGTGGACCTATGCAATGTGAGCTGAATTTTGTGCAATTTGTGCAAGCATGATTGACGTTTAAGGTTAAGTCAACGGCTGGTTTTGTAAACGCAAGCCTTGGAACTAGACCTCCATTTACACAGCATTAGAATGTGCATGAAAAAGGGTGTGTTGGTGATCTTATCAGAACAGGTCTGGGCTTAAAGCATTAGCCGCTGGGTAGACCTAGCTGAAGACCATGACACTCTGGTTCTCTCAAAACACTGGCTCTGGCAATATGATATTCATAAGTTAGACAAGGTATACCCCTGGCTTTACAGGAGTAGTTGAACGATAAATGAATAATCAAATCTTGTCAGAGGCTGTGGTGGTGTGGGTGTACTCTGGAGGAAGAAGTTTGTGTTCACACAGATTGAAACAAACTCCGACAGAATTGTAGCTATTCTTTCGTCGTCAAAGATGTTATCATTGGAGCGTACCTTCCATGCTCAGACCACCTTCTGATATACAGCCTGTACACGTGGTAAGAGACATGTGAAAACGTACATCCACGATACACCGCTTAAACAGCAGAGCAAAGAATCATGGAGGAACTGGAGATGCTGAGCAGTCCTGATCTGGTCTCTTACATGAGAACATGAAAACCAAGAAGCGAGAAAATACGTTAACACCTGTCACGCTCATAAGGAACACAAACTCCTACAGGAGAGAGACGAAATGGTAATAGGTCAGAACCGCTGTTATAACTCTCAAGTTTGTCAAAGTGGAGGAGCTGACAATCTGGATCCTGAGCACATGAAGTTTGGAGGTAATATCATCCACAATTGGCTGTTACAATTATTTTCTGCTATCATTTGGCTAGAAACCATCCCCCCTCACCCTGAAAACTGACGTAATCACTCCAGTCTACAAGGGAAAATGGGGCAGTCCCCTCAACCTAAACAGTTATAGTCCTGTCATCTGTAATCGCGAAATGTCTCAAGAGAATCATGCTCAACAGAACAGTGACACCTTCGGGGTTTAAGGTTTCCCACACATGTCACAGTCAGCTTATCAGCAAGGGATATCCTGTGCCGATGCAATTTTTGCAACACAGGAAGCTTTCCTCAAACTTAGCAGGAAGGTTGACTGTCCATATCTTTGTCTTTACGACCTAGAAAAAGCTTTTGACACCATCGAACATGCCACGCTCCTTTCGAGTCAAACGTGGTATAAATGGAATGAGCTGGAGACTGATAAAGCTATTGAAAACTTTTCTAAAAACAATGCCATCAAGATCATTTCGTCCAAGACGGAGCTTGTGAAATTTTCAGCACAAGCTACACTAGTAGTTACGATGCATGAAATTTCCATTAAATATCCCTCATGTCATATGTTACATAAAAACATTTCACAAGTTTTCATGCATGGAAGAATGGCATGAAACATTAACATTTCATGCCCACGGATCAATTGTATTTGTATGATATTCCCATGAAACAAACTTCATTCTTCAAAAAAGTTATGAAAGACATACCTTTTATCTAAGGTATCTGTTATTTCATAGCCTATTGCTATGAAATTGATGTACTTCGTGTATAAATCAACAGGTTTTTCAAGGGCACCAAAACATCGATTTTCCATGTTTAATTTTTATGGCTTATATTAATTTCATGGTTGTCTTCCATGAAAAGTGCTGTTTTCCATGCAGCTTTATGGAATGCTTTCTGCATTAATATGCATGACTTGTACTGATTTAAAAAAACACCATTGCATCATCCAATATTGCTAGCTGCAGCTAGTTGTTGGCATATGCCTCCTTGAGGCTTCATACTGTGGCTAGTTGGAGTCTGTTCGACTTCGTTAGCTCGATGGTCTGGATAAAATACTAATAGTGTCAGTAAATGTTACAGACTTTCTTCCCTCCCTCCCGCCCTGCATGTGCCACTGTACGTCCCCACCATCCTTTCTAGAAGGATGGAATTGTCAATCTCTGCGACCCTTCCGATTAAGGGACGGCCTGGGTACTTGGTGCAATGTAACTGCCCATTTCCACAGCTCCACGCTGTCAAAGAAAAGTCAAAAATTAATAATCGCGAATTACCTTGTACTAAACACTCAAAAAATTTGTGTATTTGCTATATATTGTGCATGCACTAAATTGTTTATTATTAGTGAGATGAATGATGGTGTCACGACACTTTAAAAAGTGTCTTGACAAGTTGCTCTCTGTATATTTGGTTACATTTTGGCGAGCGAAGCCAGAACTTCCGATTTTCTGCATGTTTCAGGCTCACCTATAACATTACAGTACCTTAAGGTTACTATTAATTGCGGGTTAGCAAATATTAGCGGGAATCAGCAAAACCGCTAAATTATATGCGTGCTAATAATTGTGCCGCAATGAAAATTCGCTTAAATAGAACAAAAATGTTAGACATCAAAATCTTCATCGGAAGAGCCTGAGTCATCTTCATTGCCCTCTTTCTACTGGCGCATGGTTTCCTCGAATCAGTGTCTAACTATTTTAGAGTGAGCGCTTCACATTGAGCGCTCTGGCTTTCCTGTTCATTCGTATGGCGGAGCGCTTCTAACGATAACTTGATTGAGACAGGCTCAGAGCGCCAGAAAATGCAGTGCAAGAAGAGCGAAGCGGCAGAGACTGAGCTGAGACACGTTGGAGCGACTCCGCCTTCTTTTTCTGGTTGTGCGCGTGATGGTGCGCGCAGGGGGGTCTGCGCGTGCGTGTGGACGACGGCGCCAATGTAGATTTAGTTGTTGATCTTGTTGTTTACATGTACGTTGTGCCCCGGGGGTAGTGCCCTCGCTGCGCTGGGGGCGCCACAATGCCGGGGCTCTCGGTTTTCTACTGCGCGTAGTTACCTCCAATCAGCGTCTAACTATTATTCGGTAATCCACTTGTACTCTCATGGTTTCTTAATACCAGGTGACATGTGTATTGATTAGAGGAAGAGGGATACGTATTTAATGCCTGTATTAGGAAATTTGACATCTTTGATTTGTGCAACTTCAGGCTAAAACACATAGGCATCGGGCTTGCTTGCGTGAGATCATTATCAATTGTGATCATTATACATTATTGTGCATACACTTATTGTTATACATTATGGAGACACAGTTTCTGTGGTGGTCATTCTTAAGGCTGGGCACCCAGTGTCATCTCATGTCATGTCATGTGTATTTGTGTATGTGTGTTTTGTAAAGTTTGTGTAGCTAAATAAGGTGGTGGTGGTTTTTATTATTTCTCTATCTCTCTCTATGGCTGGTATGCACTATATAAAGTGCACATAGTTTACCCAGGAAGAAGGGGCTGGGCTGGTTATCAGCTGATGATACTGAACCACTGTTTAATGAAGGGCCTGGAGAATGAACGCCCTGAGGGCTTGGAGAACACAATCCAAGCGACCTCTCCACTCATCCATCTCGCCTAAAATCACATGATTGGAAGCAGATTGCCTGTCCAAGGGGGCTCAAAATATTGTTTGAGAGATCTATTAGGTTCAACCAACAAAAAACACTTTTTCTTTCAGGATACAATAAGTTGTCTCCTAAAGGGATCACACAAAATTAACAAAATTGGAAACCTTCAGCAGCAAACGAACCTTGCTCTAGCGTTATTAGAAAGGGACTTCCAAATCTCAATTCAGGAATGTCGATGCTCATGCACATTAAACCACACATAGTGTTGGCCATATTGCTAGTTATTTAATTCACTCCGGGATATCACAACTCACCTGCTATGTACATCACGTGGCAGAAGGGATAAAGTTGTTTGGAACAGTGTACTCTACGTGGATGTTCATGTATGAATATTTCAACAGTTGGCTTTGTCAGAGGGCTCTTAAAATTCTGTCCAGAGGCAACTATTATGCAAACTTACCGAGAAGGTTTTAGGTCTTTAAAATAGCTATTTTTATTTGAATGGTGTGAATATATGTCGATGTCTTGTATGGTAGATATTAGGGTGATGAAGCTCAAAACCAAAAATATATATTTACCCTGTAGCAGCGGCCGATGGCTTGTATTACAGAGTCCGGGATTTGTGCTTGGGTGGCAGCAGAAGCGGCGCCGATCCTGAAGCTATGCCCTGCGATGGGTATGTACTCCTGCCCGGGCCAGCCAACTGAACGCTCGACTAAAACAAAGCGTGCTTTGGAGACTGGATCGCCAGCCGGTGAACAGCCCCTGGGGGAGCGGCGATGTATGAGCGCCAGGCTTTGAGCGAGCAGAGCTCATCGTGGGTGCCGCCGACGAACACCTCCGCGCTTCAGCCATTGATCATGTTTGATTGCTCGAGGAAGACGCGTAGAACCTGGTTGTCCCCTATAATCGACACGACGCCCCAAGCCAGGTGCACTCCTGGGTCGAAGGCTGACGCGTTAGGGTTCGCTTGCTCCTCATAGCTCCCAGACGGGGGGGGGGCAGCCGCCAGAGAAGGGGCGGGGTGATCGGGAGGCTGGGCTGGGGCCTGGACTAGTGCGCTCCCCGTTCTGGACCCGTAGCAGGGACAACAACTCCCGCAGTTCTGGGTGCCCCCGATAAATTGGGCTTTCCGGACAGCAGCCACGTCCGGGCTTCGAACACGGGGAAAGGGGGCACCGCCCCCAAAAGGCACAGCACAGCAGAATGACAGGCAGCAGTCCGATTCTCCCTCCCGAAAAGGTGTACGGCTTCGCTTCTACCTCGAAATCAAACCAAGAGGCAGCGGTCAGATGCATCCTGGCAGCAAGGGCCGTCCGGCAGGACTAGGGCATGAGTAATCTACGTACTCCTTCGACGCCATTTTCTTTACGAGCTTTTGCCAGACAGAACCGAGGCCAGGAAATCGTGGCAGATCCTCCGAGAACCCGTCTTTGTCGGCCACGGTTGCTACAGCCGAGGGCCACGCCGAGTGGG